TTTTTTGATTTGCACCGGGTGTCCGAGTCTCTTCGAGCCCCGACTATTCCCGGGGGTGCACAGGCCCTCGGCAAGGAGTTTCCCGCAAGTGCACCACGGTTAATTCAGGTTTTACCCAGTCCGATGGCCCTCAGAAATTGTTTGCACCCAGTGGGTTTCGAACTTGAGACCTTGAAAGGGAGCAAACCCCAAGGCTCAAGTCAATTGCCACCAGGCCAACCCCCGAGGGTTAACTCCCTTTAATGTCTTAAAATCTTCTGCTTAGCACGTAGCAGAAAAAGTTCACTTTCCTTCTTTGGACCTTAATGTTAAGGGCCTAGTGATCGGGTCCATGCATTTTTGAGCAAAATTCTTCTGCCATAATGTGATTTTTTTCTCTGTTGCTTTGATAGTAAGCAAAACTCTTTAAAAAGTGTTTCTTCGAAGCCAGACCAACGTTTGTTAGAAAGATTATTTAGAATTATGATGCTGCTGACACACAGACTTTTACTAACTTTGTCGTAGTACTTTTTCAGCTTGTCACAACTTTCATTCTCTCATTCTTGCAGTTAAGTGTAATTCTTCCATATTGTATTAGATGGTTTAAAGTTCACACTATAGCTTGAAAGAGTTTGGAACAGAATTCATTATGCACTTTGTGTTCCTGTTTTTTACTCTCCTTGGTTTAAGAATAAGTTAATCTATCCTGTTCAACGTGCACCTATGGCTAATTATATTGTTTCATGTCTTTCTGGATGAAGTAATGACGTATGCCAAATAATGGAAGCAGAAAATGTTTTGCATTCTTTGATTTACTTGCTCAGTAACTCTGAGATCTCTAAGAGCATGACAAATATGGTAATGCAATTTATTTTGTATTCTACAAAATGTTGATTAGTCATATTCTTGTTCCACAGAAGTAAAATGATATTGTTTCCTACGCAGATATTGGATATTCTTACTCGGATCCTAGATCCTAGCAAAGAAATGAAATCAAAGGTCTGGAGCTATCACTCTTTAGTTCTTCGAGGGAGCTCAAATTCGTTCTACAACCTCTATGAGTGACTCTTTTCTTTCTGGGTTATCTTCAGTTTTATTATGGACCAGTTAATGGGTCGACAAAGGAATGGAGTGCAGCAAGAAATGCAGGGTTGACTGGAAATGAAAATGAGAAAGTTGCATCAACAACCAGGTTTCATGTTTGTTTCCATGTTTTGTAGTCCTTCCCTCCCTATTGTATCTATGTGTTCCATGCTGATCTTGAATTTTTTAGTTCATGAATACCTGCTTCCCATGATATCAGTCTTGCAGAGCTTTTTAATGAGCCTACAATTATTTATTTGGGATATCTGAGTCTTAACTATAACAACAATCACTTGCTACATTAACAGGCTCTTGATTTTGGATATCTGATGCCGAAGAGTGGGAGGGAGGGAATGGTGAGGCTGATTGAGCTGGGCAGGAAGGGAGACTAAACATTAAGGAACTCACAAGACAGCCAGTTAGGTTTGGTCAGGGGTGGGTTTGGAAGAGGGTAACAGGGTGTCTAATATCCCTTATACACTCTGTTTTCGTAGCCCGTTATGTAAAGTGGAGTGTTCACCTTAAGGGATGTGGATCACTTTCTCTACTAGTCCAATACTTGAGAATTGAGTCTTTTCCTAGTGGAATCCGCATCTAAAGTCACCAAAATGTAACTTGTTAGAATATCAAGTAAATACGTGTCCAGATTTATACATATCTAGACAATGTACAAGAGGTGCTCCTTATATAAGAGTTTTAGGCTGTGTATAATATGGTCGGTAATCAATCTTTATAATAATGAGGTAACAACAACAACAACAACAACAACATCCCCGTATAATACCACAAGTGGGGTCTGGGGAGGGTAATATGTACGCAGACCTTACCCCTACCCCGAGGGGCAGAGAGGCTGTTTCCAGGAGACCCTCGGCTCAAGAGAGCAACAAGAGACGATATATTAGTACTATCAATAGACTCATAATAAAATAACATAAAATACATAACATAAAATAACAAAATAACAGCAATATAAGAAATATAGGAAATACGAAAAAGATGGAAAGTATACTAATATCCAACAGATAAAGCCCCGCATCAGTAGCTGATCAGTAGCATCCTAAGACTAACTCCTAACTGGCTAGTCTCGCTCTAGTGCGCTGTAGAAATATTCACAACTTCCCCCTAACCTACAACCTTAATGCTCGACCTCCGCAATTCCCTGTCCAGGGCCATGTCCTCAGTAATCCTAAGTCGTGCCATGTCCTGCCTGATTACCTCTCCCCAATACTTCTTAGGTCTCCCTCTACCTCTCCTCGTGCCCACCACAACCAGTCGCTCACACCTCCTCACTGGTGCATCAGTGCTCCTCCTCTGAATGTGCCCGAACCATCTGAGTCTTGCTTCCCGCATCTTGTCTTCTATGGGGACCACGCCCACCTTCTCTCGAATATCTTCATTCCTAATCCTATTATATAGGAATATCCTAAGTATCCTGTAGAACATTTTATAAGATTTTCCTTATTCAAGTATGATGAATCTGGACACGTATTGACTTGATATTCTAACTGGTTCCCTCAAAATCAGAGTGGGGAAACTAACTTGAGTACATAAAATGTTGAGGCAAAAATCCATTATGATAGTGCACAATCATTAAAAAGAAAAGCGGTACCAGATTTCTTTTCTCCGAAAATGCGCTGGTACTGCACAAATAGTACTTCTTGCACTACACAAAAAAAGGATTCTCAATGACTGTAAAGAGATATGGTGTATCAGTTTGACATGAATTGGTAGAGCTAGATATTCAAAAATCAAAAGAGTTTGCCAGCCATTTAAAAAGTTGCAGTTCCGGTCGCCAGAGAAATGAACGGTGCTTGGATGATCGTAGAGAGAGAAGAAACGCTTGATCAATCATCTACAGAGTAGGGTGCCAGTTTCTAGAAAGAGGAGCAGGGTTGGGCACCAAAATGAAAAAACTTTGGCTCGGCAGGTAGCACACGTTGGTTGGTGCCACCGCCAGTAGCAGAAGCTATTTGTGTCTTTACCAAGATCGTAGTTGCTCCGTTACCATGTCAAAATAGAGCAAAAATACTTCTCATTGACCTTATTAACAATGTATTAGAGGTGCTCCTTATAGGAGTCTTAGCTATGATGGTAGTTAATCGTTTTTATCCTTATAAGGTAAGTAAATATTCCTCTGCAATTAAATAGAGAATATGCTACAGTAGCCTTTAGAATTTTCTATAAGATTTTCCTTACAAGTGTAATGAATCTTGACGTGTATAAATCTAGACACATATTCACTTGATATCTAACATAACTGATTTTAGCTTAACTGGATAATTGCCAAAAGTGCAGGAATTTTCGGGAATGTTGACAAGAAAGTAATTCCTCGCGTTTCACCTTCGGAGAGATATCAATCAACTGTTTTGGAGTTATATCTTCTTTCACGTTTCACATTCCAAGCTATAACACCCAGTACTTGGGCTCTTTCCTTTGTTAACATGGCCAGAGAGGAAGGGGAAAGAGTTGTTTTGGATGAGTATACTTCACTAGGAGCTTTAACATGGTTCTACAGTAAAACCCTAGGCTTAGTCAGGGTGTTATCAAAAGTCATCTCTTTGTTGCTTAAAGCGATGAACTGAGGGATCATCGCTTTATGGGTGAAGTAATGCGCTTCAGAGAGGTTTGTGCTTCAACCAATGACGCGCAAAGTGATTTCAATGAGAAGCGGTAAATCTCAAATTTGAGGAGTTAGATTAATATTGAAATTACTGTATATTGAATGTTGACATTAGTTATTCTAATTGAAATTTGATAATAATAATAATAATAATAATAATAATAATAATAATAATAATAATAAATTCATATATTTGATACTTTTAATTTTCCGTAATTTGTGCACTTCACTTTAAAGAAGTGTGCTCTTCACTTCTCGCTTTCACTTTTAAAACCACGGATAAGTCATGTGAAGGAGCTTGAACTTACAAACTCATCCCCACTAATTTTGAATAACAGATCCTGATAAAAAAAATGTCGAGTACCAAGAATGTAGAGGTTATATGACATTTTTGTAAACATGTGACAGTAGTTCTTCTTGGAGCTCATTTAGATTGTTTACACAGAACTCAGTCTTCATGAAGTAAGATTTGATGAGTGAGATTAGTTAACTTAACTTACCAACAACAACAATATACCCAGTATAACCGCACACAATGGGGTCTGGGAAGGATAGTGTGTACGCAGTCTCTACCTTGTGAAGATAGAGAGGTTGTTTCCAATAGACCCTCGGCTCAGGAAGCACCACATTAGTTAACATAACTTAGTAAATGGAAAAAAGTGGTTCTTTCAACTGAACTGGATCCGAGGAGGGTTGAAAGGATAGAAGCTGAGCTGTTAAGTCATTTTTCTTGCCTATAATTGACTTTGATGCTACTTAGTCAAGTAATTTGGCATCTGACTGAAGTGTGCACAAAAGAAGCTAGTTTTCACATATACGAGACTTAACAATAAGATATGCACTAAGTTTATGTGGACTCTGTCTAGACAACTGCAGATGGAAGTGAGGCTCTCTCTAATGAGAAAATTGATGCTGTGAGCTGCTAATGTTTAAGTCAGGATTCCTTTTGATTGCAAATGTGACCTGGTCTATATCTTTTTTAGATTCTCCCTAGGTTCTATATGTGTGGTCATGTGAAGCTTTAAATGGTAGTCCATTGCTCAAAGATGTTTCAGGAGTGTTCTTAATTTTGTCTCTCTGCGAAACCCAATTGTAACATCTCCAGCAGTGCTCACTGCATTTGATGATCCAGATAATGAGTTTTCTTAATGCTAGCACACAGTGTTAAGTAACAAGGTAACCATCCCACATTTGATAGTTGTATGATTATCAAATCGTTTCCAAGGCTTACATGCTCTAAGATCGCAAACTTGGGCTTGAGTTTTAGGGTGGGTGAGGACCAAACTGTTAAGTTTGTTGGGGCACTAGTTGGAACTTGCATTATTGTGGTTTGAGTTGATGTTGATTTGTAACTCGCAATGTTTAAAGGTGATGGTCATCATGTCTACATGCATTATTGGGATATCGGATATTACAATTAAAACAATTGTGTAAACTTTATGCTCTTAGGTTCAAAGACTCATTCCTTCATCCTCATTTTATTTTGACTAGACAAAGGGTAAAGGGCATATCTGGGGAAGTTTTGGTTCCTTCTCAATTTTGGTGGAAGTATTCTTCCAAATGATTTTGTTGACATGTAAATGCATTATGTAATTAAAGTTGCATAATAACAACATTGTTCATGTTGCAATTATCTTTAGTTCATCAAAAAGACATTTATTTGTGCTGCAGACGAGCAGTTGATCATCTTCATCAGTTTTGAGATATTCGAATGTAGGACTCTATTAAGTGCTTCATACTAGTTGGTGTTACAGCAGATATAAGATGAATCAATTCACTATTTCATGGTGAATCAAACTCTGAGTTTCATTTTTGCAGCTTGGAAACTGCCAATGTGGTGGATCTCTTAGATTCTGCTGTTCTATCTCGCCTAGTTGATATCATGAGGACATCATCCCCAGATTTGCAGAGGAAATCTGCTTCAATTCTTGAGTTTGCCGCAGTTATTGAGCCATGCACAGAAAAGATACTGTCCGTTGACCTAGAAAGTGGGCTGGATGGTGTTTTCCAGCAGAAAACTTTAAATGGTATGAGAGACTACTTGCCCTCAATCCTCATTAAGGCCCAGTCTATCAGAAGTGTGGCTTCACTTTTCCCTTTTTAGTAGGTTTGTTGATTCCTCTTTGAAGTACGGAGTAGTCTGTCACTGCTGCTGTTCAACATAACATGGTAATATGGAAGTCTTAGGAAATCTTCTCGAGAATACTACCTTGAACAAGGAAACCATGGTTTCTGTTTGATTTCAAGGAATGTCAATGTGCTTGTAAATTTCAAAACTACTGCCTTCCACTACTAAAGTAGGAGATTAGGATGTTCTTTTCTGGCATTTAGGCCACAAATTATGCCCCATGAACTTAAAATTAATAGTTTTCCTAGTTCACCTTGGGCATGTACTGGTTACATTTTTGGATTCAGTTGTGATCCAAAACATTTTACCTTCCATTTACACCAAATTATTATCATTCACTTGCCAATTGCCTCTCTCTCTCTCTCTCTCACTTTTTTGGGTACAATTCTAGTTTCCACCTTTCAGTTTTTTCATTCGTCTTATTTTTCTGTGCTTCAAATACCCGGAGTATGCTTTAGCAAATTCACCAATATTACTATTCATGTGTCTCTGAGCTTCTTTGCTGAGGAAATGTCCAAACTCCCAGAAGTGCTCAACCTGTACCAAGTTCTTGACAATAGTGGTGTGCCTTTTGTATTCATTGCTTTACTGTTATGTAGTATATATTTCTCTTCAGTTCTGTGGAAATGCTCATTCTTAACCACCACAAGTTAATTTTAGTAACCGCGTAAAACTGTAGACTTACAGATGACTTGAGAGTTCTTACATATGTGACCAGTTCACTGTTTTCCTCAGGTCGGTACTGAGTAAATCATTCTTTAAACGGAAACTAGAAGATAAATTTGGTAGTCAGTGATCTGCGTTAATCTGTTTATCTAAGACGAAATTTTTGGCACAGGGTTTTCACATTCATGGGCTGCAGAGACTTGCTTGTGTCTTTTTATGCTGTCCTTTGATTTATGTATTGTAGCCAGCATATTGGAGGCTGTTTCAAGTAGTTTCTAAAAGATGATTCTGCATAGTTTGACTTGTGAGCCATTTAATAGCTCGTTCTGGTGGAAAAAGATTCTAATCTATGTTACTTGGCTAAACGAAGAAAACATACAAGCCTCTATGGGGATAATCTGATGATATTTAGTCAATATTCTTACTTTGGTGGTGTGGGGATTCTATGCTAAATACTAGCCTCTATCAAGACTTGAGAATATTTGTCTTAAGTTCTATTGGAAATAAATAACTTGCTGGATTCATCATGATATTGCAGATGCAGAATCTAAAATAGATCTGCAGAACCCAGAACTTCATGCGCTTGAGGTTGAAGAGGCTGGTCATGCGATATCTGCAGCATCCCGGCTACTTACAAGACTGCTGGACTTTGAGCAGTTCTGTTGTAAAGTAAATGCATCTCATTTCACAAAGTTACTGCAAAAGGTTCTCAAATCAGACATCCCTCTTTACCACAAAGACTGGGTTGCTGCCTGTCTTTTGAAGCTCCGCTATCTCTCTGGTCCATATTTTGACTATGATAATCCGATCAACTTAGAGGTAACTCTTTATGAGACGATCCCAAGGCTGGTAGAACAGATCAAGACTTCATATTCACCGGAAGTACAGGAGACTGCTGTTGTAGAACTCAACAGAATAATCGCTGAAGAGGTGGTGAATTCCACCAGAGCCGTGGCTGCAGAGGGAGGGATATTTCCATTGGTGAAGCTGCTCGAAAATCAGAGTGAACGAGCTGTTGAAGCATCTCTAGCAATACTGTATAATTTGAGCATGGACAGTGAGAATCATGCTGCGATTATAGCTGCAGGAGCTGTGCCAATTTTGAGACGACTTGTACTAGCGCAACGGTCACATTGGATGCGAGCTCTGAGATTGCTTAGGACATTACCTACATGATGAATTCAGCTAAATTCTTTTAGAGGATTACCAGTTGTAATATAAGAATTTTGAGTTCATCTTGTTAGTCATATAGCCTTCTTTATACAAAACCCTCTATTTAGTCTTCAAGCTGGTCTCTTCTGTGAAGAGAGAATTTTGTGAGTTGAGCCAGTAACAGATATGTAATGCTAACTGTGTGACCTTCAAAGAATTGGTTTTAGTTCTATATTTTGTGTTTCTTTTTTGAAAACTAAATTGTTTTTCCAAAGCTGAACCAACAGGCACTAATTTCATCTTTGGCCATATTTCGTGCTTCAGAAACCCAAAGAAGAGAGATTATTATTCTTATAATCATTAATTAAATGAGACCCATACTCATTTTTCAAACTTATATAATTTAATAAGTGGTTACAAGGTCAAATAATGTCCAAAATCATTATCTTCTGAAATCCATTAATTTTTTTTAGACGACATCCAGGGTGATTTACATAATTGCTTATGGTTTCCTAAAATATTCCATATTATACAATTATTAATTGAGTAGCATGTTCTACAATCTTAACATAGTATAAAATACAGTAGTTCTTATGAAAGTTCAAGAGGGGTGAATTGTAGCCTTTTTATATTTTTAGTCGACTACTCTTCAGACCAAGTCGGCTTATACGGAGACAGCATGAACAAGACTGTTAGTACTACAATTTAAACAAATACTAATCACAACAAACAATAATGGTATATAATAAAATACGGGAACAATAAAGTGAATGACACTAGAAATTATATACTGGTTCGGAATCAATGTGGTATTCTAATCCAATCCCCTTGGGTTGCAAGGTTCTTATCTCTTTGTAAATTGGGTTGAGTACAACTTGTGTGATTTTCAACGTTCACCACCAACGTATACAAGGTTGGTTTACACTCGCTCTCACCAACAACGAACAAGGGTTGGTTTTAATACGTTCACCAACAATGCAAAAGGTTGGTTTTCACTCGCTCACCAATAACGAACAATGACACAACCTCTCAGGACAGACCGCCTCTCCAATATTTTTTTGTCTCTCTTCTCTCTTTTGTGCACAGAGTAAATCTACTAAAAGTAAATTACAATGCTTGTTAATAGTAGAATTAAGAACTTGTAGTTGGGTAAAAAATTATATAGAAAGCTACGTACATTTCTTCCTTCACCTCCGCTTTATAGCCTTTCAACTTGTTCTAGCTATTTTATGACCCAACGGAAACTGACTGTTGCTCCTTATTTGTTTCCATAATTTGTCTTGGTAAATTCTTGAAAGCTCCTTTCTTCCTTAAATTGCTTTGACCGTTGCTTGATTGGTCTTCTATTCAATGACTTCAAGAATATTTGTTTTCATATATTGCCTTGTCAATCTTCTCACACCATATATTGATCCCGGACATAGGGATGACAATGGTGCAGTGCGGGACGAGCAGGTTTGAACATTAGCGAGGTGGTGCGGGTTTGAGACTTTGCGGTTGCAGGGCGGGACGGGTTCAATTTTTAAATTAAAAAAATAATGCGTGGCGAGGGGGGACGCGGGTGGGGATTTAATTTTAACTGTTTGTTAATGCAAAACTGCCACTTAACTGTCTCTTCTTCTTCTTTCCCATTTTTAACTTCCATGTAAGAAACAAAATAATAAAAAAGAAAGAGAAATTATTACTACTCTATACATAGCACAAAGAATTTTTCCCCTTTCATATTCATTATATATTATATAAAAATATTTATACACCCCTTTATGCAATCTGATTACTGTTAATCTCATCTTCTCCTTCACCAAGATTTTTCAGTAAGTCGGTCTGTATTATAATTTTTTGGGTATTTTATTTCATATTCTTTTGCATTTGGTTTTATTAAAATCATGTGGGAAAGTTTATTAAAAAATTGCGGGGCGGGGCGGGGCAGGTGAACGCAGGTGGAGTGCAGGGCGGGTGAATGCGGGTTTAAATTTTATACGGGGCGGGGTGAATTTAAATTGCGCGGCTTCAGACAGAATCGGCCCCGCACCATCCCACACCGCCTGTCATTCCTACCTGGACAGAAGATGAATTTTCCTTAATGCTGATGCTTTCATTTGGATATGGTAAATTGATGAGTATCCTTCCAATCTTGCATTTATTGAATGATTTTCTTTCTGTGTCTGACACCTTAATTGAATAATGCACGAATCTTGATTACAACTCATTCCTTAATAATTTTTTCGTTGTATTTCAGTTTGTCTCCTCTCTTCTCATTCTTCCACAATATCTTCTTTCCTCGTATCTTTTCTCGGAATAAAATAGATTTGCATCTCATATTTTGAGTCTTCAGCTTTCTGTTTCTTCTAATATTTATAGAGAACTTTGATTCTTTGGAAGTCTTCATTCTTTAATATATAACTTTTGAACTTGGACCTTTGTTTGTACTCGACGAACTCATATATAATTAAAGAAGTGATTTATCACTTTCCATAACAATTCAACTTTTCACGATTCACGGAGCTTAGACATAACTTACATAATTTTCTTTCCTTTTGAGAATAGGTGCTATTGTATCTTCCTTGATCTTTATAATTTAGGACATTCTTCCAATGATGCCTTCCAAGTTTCCAATTCATAGTCAGGTTCCTTTGCTTAAAAGTTCTTCCGCAAAATATACCTCCTTTTCTTCCATTAAGTCATTGTAAATATTCTTCCTTTTTATAGAATGTCTCACTTCCATTTATAATCTCATGGCTTCGTCGCACAATATCTTCTTTTCCATATTTGTCTTGAGCTTTATCAAATTCTTCTTCATTTAATAACCTTGGCGTTCTTTAGTATAAAGATATCACTAATCATTTATGATCTCCACAATTATGGAAATAATTTCCTTTTCAACAGATCTCAAAATATCTTTAAACTCCTATTATACGAAAAGTATTTCTTTCTTGATCTTGAAAAATAATCTCTTTCCATAATAGATTTTACTATATCCATAATACATTTTCTTTCCATTGAAAATATATTCTTCATTGGCCTTGTAATTTCTCTTCCATATAGTATCTTCCTTCCATAAAATAACATATCTTCTCCAGGATTTTAGCAACCTTCCTTTCAATATATTGAAGAAACTTCCTTCCACAATGTTCGCAGAGTTTTCCTCTGATATTATTGTAAACCATTCAATATTTGAAATTTGACTTTCAAATATTATTCCTTCTATGATGCTTGGAGATTAAATCTCTGAAAATAATCTTTCTTGATTATATTTTCTCTCATAAATTCATCGCATAATATTCTCTTTTCCATATTTGTTTGGTTCTTTACTAACTTCTTTTCCCTTGAACAAATCTGTGCAAGAATAAGATTACCACAAGTAAATGTTCTTTGATTAATAAATATGTTGGTTTGTTATCATCAAAATCAATGCGTATTGAGCTATGTATTTATGTATAGTAGTTAATTACTACTTAGCTTAGCTGTAGCTCAATTAGTTGTTAGTTTTAGCTTATCAATTATAGAAGCTACACATGTGTATATACATAAGTTTGTACAGTACAACATTACACATTATTCATTTTCTATACAAAAAATATCTTCTCTCAGTTTCTCTCTCTATGAAGCTTCCAGAATCTCCACCATTGGAGCTCTAGCTCGAGCTCGTTTTTTCTGCTGCATCTACAGCTCAACATGGTATAAGAGCCTAGCATCTCACTCTCCCGTCTCCTCATCATCTTCAGTAAGGTCAATTGAATTTTTACCCCAATTTTCCCATTTTGAATTTTTCCCTAGAAGATCGTTTATCTCCAATTGTCCGATCTGCCATTTCTCTCTTCAATTTTTAATTCTATCTTCATCAAATCGAGTCCTATCTCATGGCTATCACTAGTTCGAGCACTGAGTCCGATAGTCCCTCATCTGTCCTCGAGGTGGAGTCCGGTTTCGATGCTAGTAGTCCTCTTTACATGCATCCTTCAGAAAATCCCGACGCGATGTTAGTTCTAGTTCCTTTCAGTGGTTTAGGGTACCGATCCTGGAGAGGGAGTGTTATGAGAGCCCTATCTGTCAAAAACAAATTAGGTTTCATCAATGGCAAATGCAAACAGCCAGATCCAGAGAAGGAACCTTCGAAATTTCGACTATGTGAACGATGCGACGATATGGTTACATCATGGATCCTAAATTCTCTTGACAAGGAGATTGCTGACATTGTTGAATATGCAAATGATGCTGTCGAGTTGTGGAAAGAGTTGGAGGATCGCTACGATTTGACCAACAAAACCAAACTATATCAAATCCAGAAGGAAATTAATGACATTTCTCAAGGAGTTTTGGACATTACAGGCTATTACACTAAAATGAAGAAGCTATGGGAGAAACTGAGTACATTGAGTGCCAAGACACAGTGCACCTGTCAATGCACATGTGGTGCTAAGGAAAATATGCATAAAGCTGAACAAGACAGGCGTTTAATTAAGTTTTTGATGGGCCTGAATAAAGTGTACACAACTGTGCGAGGCAGCATTCTTATGCTGAACCCCTTGCCTTCTATGACACAAGCATTTTCCCTACTAGTTCAAGAAGAGAAGCAGATGGAAGTTAAGCCGAACAATCATGTTATGATGGATTTATCGTCTTTATATATCAGTGCCCCGAGGAGCAATATCAGAAATGGCCAACAATATGTAGATTCTGCCTCGTTCAATGTTGATACATCAAGGAACAACAATTTTAGAACCAACTATTCTCCTTGCAACTACCCTCCTAACATCACCAGACCACGTCCTTTTTGTGACTACTGTAAGTGCTCAGGTCATACCAAAGATAAGTGTTATAAGCTACATGGATACCCTCCAGGGTTCAACTCAAATCTCAAATTTAACAGAGGAAAGAGAACTGTGGCCAATGTACATGGTGCACCTGAAACCAACTCTGACAAACATGAAGAAGTGGAATCTCTGGAAGGCAATCGTAACTCCAATGTCAACTTAACCAAAGAACAATATGGTCAACTAGTTTCCCTGCTGCAGCATTTTCATTCTGGAAATGGCAAAGAGACCTCGAGTATTCCTAATGGAGCTATGAATTTTGCAGGTATAATGGCTTGCTCTGCTTCTGTTATCTCCATTGATTTTAGCTTATTATTATGCAAATGTTTTACATCAAGTACTGATATATGGATCCTAGACTCAAGAGCTTCCAACCACATGACTTTCAATAAGTCCCTCTTGTATGATACTATAGTCTTACCATGTCCATTGTTAATTAACCTGCCAAAAAGTTATCGAGTAAAAGTGACTGAAATTGGGACTGTTACACTTGCACCTCAGATCATCTTGCATAAAGTCTTTTATGTTCCTTCTTTCAAATATAATTTGATCTCTATTCATTGCCTAACTTCCCAACTTAAAAGTTTAGTGGCCTTATCCGATTCTTTATGTCTTCTACAGGCCCCTTCAATGAAGAGACCTCTGGAGATTGGTAAAGTCGAGGATGGATTATACCTGCTTTGCTCAAGCTGCTTGAAGCATTCTTGTTTTGTTACACATACTGCCAACTGCTCATTTCCATTTCATGCTTTACCTGCTTCACATGATATAAATAGGTTAAATTCTCATTCTTACTCATTTGTTGATATACCCACATGCAATAAAACTAAGAGTTCAGTTTTGCATTATTCTATGTATAATAACATTGATGCAGATTTGTTGTCGCATAATAGGCTGGGACATATACCTTTTGTCAAAATAAGAGGTATCTCTTCAATACCAATCCAGTTCTCACCCAAACAACCATTCCTCTGTCCCATATGTCCCATGGCAAGGCAGACTAGAGTGCCTTTCCCTCAAAGAACCAGCATCACCACTAAAGCCTTTGACCTTCTTCATGTGGACTTATGGGGACCTTACCATGTGGCAATTCACAACAATTTTAAATACTTCCTCACCAAAGTGGTTGATTATAGCAGGTCCACTTGGACCCATCTCCTAATCTGTAAAAGCAATTCCTTGCAAACTATAAAAGCCTTTGTGTCTCTCATTGAAACCCAATTTCAAACCAAACTAAAATGCTTAAGATCAGATAATGGCTTAGAGTTCACTAGTAATGAAGCAGTCCAATTTTTCCAATCCAAGGGTATAATACACCAGAAAACATGCCCCTACACACCCCAACAAAATGGTGTGGTAGAGAGGAAGCATAAATACCTTCTTGAGACTGTTAGAGCCCTTTTATTTCAATCAAAACTACCTTTACAATACTGGGGTGAATGTCTTCTAACTGCTACTTATATCATCAATAGGTTTCCCACAAATTATCTCAAAAATAAATGCCCTTATGAGATGTTGTTTCATAAAAAACCCACTTACTCACACTTAAGGAGTTTTAGATGTTTATGTTTTTCTACTACTCCCCAACCTCATAGGGATAAATTTAAACCAAGAGCAACCCCTTATGTATTTGTAGGATATCCCTATGAGACAAAAGGTTACAAGGTCCTCAACCTAACTACCAAGAAAATCCACATTTCCAGAAATGTAATTTTCCATGAGAATGTATTTCATTTTAACATTTTGCCTGATGATTCTAAGTTCTCTTATGTTCCTAATTCTGTCCCTTTCATTGATGATTTTCCTATTATTAAATTACATACTCCTGATGTTTTGCATGATGGTCAAAGGTCTGCAAGTGTTACTCCTGATATTTTGTCACATAGTAGTCCTCCAACCTTCGATCAGTCTAGTCATCTTTCACCTCAACCATGAATTGCTTCTCATCAACCTCCTATAATACCTGATTTAGGCATTAGGAGGTCAACTAGACAACATAACTTATCTACCCATTTGAAGGACTATATTTGCTCTATTCAAAACTTAAAACCTCCTGCTCATACTGCTGACACTAATACTTCACCCTTCTCCCTTGATGCCCTGTTTACATGTAATCATCATGTCTCTCTTAATTCTTTGATCCATGATAGTCAGCTACTTATGCAAAATGTTAGCCATGATAATAATCCATCTTGTTATGAAGAGGCAACCTTAAATCCAGCCTGGCAGGCAACCATGACCCTTGAATTTGAGGCCTTACATGCTAATCATACCTGGGACTTGGTTCCCTTTCCCCAAGGTAAAAAGGCCATTGGTTGTAGATGGGTGTACAAGGTCAAGCACAAGGTTGATAGGAGCATTGAAAGATTCAAAGCCAGGATGGCTGTAAAGGGGTACACTCAACAAGCAGGTGTTGATTACACAAATATTTTTTCACAAGTTGTGAAAATGACCACAGTCAGGGCTCTCATAGCTACAGCAGTAAAGAAGCACTGGAATATCTTTCAACTAGATGTAAATAATATTTTCCTCCATGGTGATCTACATGAGAAAGTTTATATGGAACTGCCCCCTGGGCTAGTGATTGATACTCCTGGACGTGTCTGTAAGCTGAACAAATCCCTTTATGGGCTGAAGCAAGCTAGTAGACAGTGGTATGCAAAACTAGATGAGGCCTTGTATTCCAAGGGTTATGTCCATTCTCTGAATGATTATTCTCTCTTCTACAAAAAGTCATCCTCTTCTACCATCTTTGTTGCTATATATGTGGATGATGTAATTGTGACTGGGACAGACTTGCAGGAAATTACTCAACTGAAGACCTTCTTGCATGATCAATTTAAGATCAAAGATCTAGGTATATTGTACTATTTCTTAGGCACGAAGGTCCTGTATACAACTGATGGAGCACTCATCTCTCAGAGAAAATTTTCACTAGATTTGCTTAAGGAATACAATTGTCTCAATGGTAACAGTTCATCTTCACCACTAGATCCCAGTGTCATGCTCAAAGCAAAGGAAGGACTAGCTCGGACAGATCCTACGTCCCATAGAAAGTTAGTTGGGTTGAATTTTCTTACTAATACAAGGCTAGACATTGCCTATAGTGTGCAACATTTGAGCCAATTTATGCAAGATCCGAGGGAGCCACACTTACATGCAACTTTGCACCTTCTTAGATACTTGAAAAATGATCCTACACTTGGGATTTTTCTTTCTAATGATCCTAACTACACAATTAAGGGGTATTGTGATTCTAATTGGGCAGCTTTCCCTGACTCTAGGAGATTAGTTAGTGGTTATCTTGTATTGCTGGGTAATAGTCCAATTAGCTGGAAGTCTAAGAAATAGGAAACTATTTCCCTCTCCTCAGCTGAGGCAAAATACAGATCTCTTAGAAAGGTGGTAGGTGAACGAACTTGGCTATGCAGATTGCTAGATGAACTGACTATTCCCTTTCCTAAGCCTGTTACTATATTTTGTGATAGTCAGTATGCTTTACACATTGCCAAAGACACTGTCTTCCATGAGAGGACAAAGCATATTGAAGTTGATTGTCATTTTGTTCGAGACAAGTTACAAGAGAGCTTGGTGTCTTTGCATCACATTGGCACTGCTGATCAACTGACTGATATACTCACCAAAGCTCCCACTAGCATTAAGCATTTTTCTGTTTTGGGCAAGTTGTCTGTGAAGACCTCAACTCCAACTTGAGAGGGGAGGGGGTATTGAGCTATGTATTTAAGTATTGTAGTTAGTTACTACTTAGCTTAGCTGTAGCTCAATTAGTTATTAATTTTAGCTTATCAGTTATAGAAGCTACACATGTGTATATTCATAAGTTTGTACAGTACAACATTACACATTATTCATTTTCTATACAAAAAATATCTTCTCTCAGTTTCTCTCTCTATGAAGCTTCCAGAATCTCTACCATTGGAGTTGTAGCTCGAGCTTGTTTTTTCTGTTGCATCTGCAGCTCAACAATACGTAAAACCTTGAAGCTAAAAATCTCCCCTTTATGATGGATTGCAAACCATTGAGTACAATAAAAAAATTTAATCAAAGACTTAATTAAAGGCAGCAATAAGATACGCTAGATAAACTGGTTACTTTCCTGAAGTAATCTTCTCAAATAAAAACTACGAAATAAGCCGAAGAACAAGTCTGAACCTGCAAAGTTCTTCTACTTAATTTTAGAGAGATAAGCTCTTCCATATCTCTAACCTACCCTCTCTCAAATTCCTGTCACACACTCAAGTTCCCCATGATTCAAACCCTTCCAACCTAGATACTACCAAAATCACTCCAAAACCACCGGAAAATTTAATACTTAGCAATTTAACTAGGGATCCAAACAACCTAGTAAATCCAAACGACTCCATTCCGGCTACCTTTAAAGAAAAGCTAGTTGAAAATGAGGGAAGAATTAATATCTCTATTGACCCCCTATTTTCCCTCATTCTACCAATGTATATTCAAGAAGAAAAGGTTTTCCCTCATTCAAGAGAGGATCATGAAAATCTATCTATCTCCGTCCCCATTACTCTTGAAGATAAGAAAAGAATATACCATCTGTGGAAATACTCCCTAATAATAAAATTACATGGAAAAAGAATCCTCCATCAAATTTTGAAACAAAAAATTCAAGAACTATGGAAAATTAAAGAGATTTTTTCTTTCATTGACTTGGGCAATGATTACTTCATTTTCAAACTACAAAATGAAGAAATCATAAACCATATCCTCCAAGACAGTCCATGGTTTATCTTTGGTTTCTTTTTATCAATCCAACGTTGGCAACCACACTCTTTAGCCAAGAATGCAAAACAAATCAATACTGGCGGTTGGGTAAGACTACCCCAATTACCTACAAAATTCTATGATAGTCAAATATTACAAAAAGTTAGGGAAGCCATAGGAAGACTCCTAAAGGTAGACGCCTGTACATCTTCTTCCCTAAGAGGAATGTATGCTAGACTTTGCATTGAATTGCCTATGGAAGAACCAGTGAAAAAATTCATCTTTTTTAGAAGTCATAGACAACAAATCCATTACGAAGTGGACAATTATCTATGTAAATCATGTGGTCGTTTGGGACATAGAATCACAGATTGTCAGGAGAAACAAGTTACAACAAAGGAAACAAGTTCTACACCTACAATTCTATCAAAGAAATCTCAGCATCAACCAACAGATTCACTAGACGAGGGATGACAAACAATCTCCTTCCAACAAGCAGGAGGCTTCAACAAACAAAATCAAAAGATGTTGATTCAGGGATTCAAGAATCAGGTATTAATGCCAAGTTAATCAATGACACAACGGGTAGGTATTTTACTACTCAAAAACTTAAATATGTTTCAAAAGTTATTAATAATGATTCTAGAAATGATAACCAACTAAAACCTCATCATTCTTCATCCCAAACCACCCCCAAAAATAACCTGATAGATGCTTCTAAAGGTCCTCTAATTTCAGAACCTCATCAAGCGGTTTTAAGTAATACCACCTCTCAATATAACCAAAACCACTTCAGTATAGATTACTTGAACCGGGATCAAAAAACAAAACCTGACAAAAACCTTCTAAATCCACTAGAAGACAAAATTTTTAATAAGCAAGACCCCCCTAATTAAACCTACTAACCAATCGGGGGTCACTCCATTAAACAATAACGATCATAACCTAAGTTTTAATCCCTCTATACAAGACAAAAAACTACACAAAAAAAAGAACCCCCTGCATGCGGAAGCACACTCGTCCAACCACACACACCCTTCTTTACAAATGGCAAAAAACCCCATACACGTACCTAGCAAATCCCATGCAAAATTCTCTATATCTCCAAATACGCTAAGCCTCTCCAGTGACATGCAAATAGAGGTAATCATTCCCTCTACTCATACCTCTCACCCCTAATATTGCCAAACCTCATCTCCTAAAAATGTCAAGACTCCCACTAAACAATCAAAGAAAATTTCGACTAATTCAAATACTGAAAAACCAAAGAACTCACCTCATGGACAACCTTCCTCTCTTCCCTCAGCAAATGCCTCCTCTCCCAATAGTCTATGCTCAACCACCCCTTCCACAGAACCATCACCCAACCTCATAGATAGATCTAGGTCTAATGAGAGGGGGTATCACTCCAAGTGAACATCAACGAGCAGGAGAGTATAATACTAATCAACAACCCAAAATTTTTAGCACAAATAGTGTTTGAGGGTCTACACTGAACTACTTGAATCATATTTGGGTGAACAACATCATGCAACCTCTAGCACCTGGGATGAACAACAATCTAGCCTAAACCAAGTGTGCCCAATGGAACATGCCCCAACACTTCTCTCAAAATTCTTATCTCCCTCAGAACATGGGTCTAAATCTACCCTTTTTCCATCCCAAGAGTTATCTGCCCTAAATCTAATCTTGATGCCTTGGGAACTCCCACAAAATCCCATGCAACAAGAAATGCCAATGAACCTAGGTCCAATGGACCAACAGGTTCGACAACGCCATATGCCACAAGATATAGGAAATCTAGAGGGGGAGGGGAT